GGGCTTAGGGGGTTTTGGGTTTAGGGTTTAGGGGTTTTGGGGTTTAGGGGTTTAGGGGGTTTTGGGTTTAGGGGTTTAGGGGTTTTGGGTTTAGGGTTTATGGGGTTTCAGGAACGAAGGTTTAGAAGTCGAGGGCTCTGGGAGTTCTGAACCCTTCACCCTACAAACCCGGGTTTAGGGGTCTAGGGTTCTGGGTTTAGGGTTTAGGGGTTTAGGGTTTTAGGGGTTTAGACCCTAAGCCCTAAACCCTAAACCCTAAACCCTAAACCCTACACCCTATACCCTAAACCCTAAAGCCTAAACCCTAAACCCTAAACCCTAAACCCTAAACGGTTAGGGTTTGGGGTTCAGGGTTTTGCGTGAGCCGAGGTGTCCTCGGACTTGGAGACACTTCACTTGACTGACTTTAATGCATCGAGGTGGGAAACATCAGATCGAGGTTTATAGGGGGTTTAGGGTTTAGGGTTTAGGGTTTAGGGTTCCTTGTAATGGTTTTACAGGGTTTCCGGGGTTCCCTCAAGGATTTGCATAGAGTTTCTTAGTTTGATTTCTGGGTTTCACGGTGCGTTCTATAGATTAGGAACGCTACTCACTGGGGCTATTCTAGTTGTTGAAGTAATTGTATTGTGGGTGTCGGGATTATTTCTGGTTTGTTTAGTATGCATTTTGTGTGTGGTAGTTCAAGGGCTGTGTTGGGGGGGTGGTCTGGGGGGGGGGGCAGGGTTGGGGTTTTGGGTTGTTGAGCGTTTAGGTATTTGTTGGATTTGGGGTCTGGGGGGTTCGGGTGTCGGGATCAGAATTTAGTCAGATGGATTCCTTGCTTCGACGGCAAAGCTGCGTGGCAGAATCCAACACCTGCAAACCTTCAATACACCCTAACCTGGTCGTGCTTTTGACAAGGACCCGGTGCATGAGAGAGCCTTAACACCCAAATCTATAGGGCCGGAACAACCAAAAAGTCATCAAAACCCTCTTGGGTACGTTTAACCAGTATAATACACTCCAACACCCTGTTCTGATTGCTAGGGCCCCTAAGCCTGTGAACTTTGTGAACCATGTGAGGCCCAACCCTTAAACCCTACAACATGAATACCGGAGCGTTAAGCCCGAATTAACTTAGAGGTCCCTTATGTAATGTACTCCAAAGCCCCCTTCTAAAGCCTTATAATTCCGTCCATGAAAGAGCCCCTGTTGCAATCATCAGGGCTCCTACTACAGCCTACACCCTAAACCCTAGTAAAATAGGGGCCCAAATAACTACCAATACTATGTTGGGGGCTCCTTATTACAATTATACTATAACATACCTCAAAACCCAATTCTAATTAAGGACCCTAAACCCTAAACCCTAAACCCTAAACCCTAAGCCTACAGTAGGTCTACTACACCCGGCTTTCGGAAAGCCGCGGAGGTCTCTACGTGAGGGCGGCTCACTGACCATGACTGGCACTCTGGAGTACGCTGCTCCTGAGGCGGCTTAGGATTCTGGGGAAACGACTTAGGGTTTAGGGTTTGGGGTTTAGGGTTTGGGGTTTAGGGTTTAGGGTTTAGGGTGCCGAAACCACAAAAAACCCGAAACCGGATAAGATACGGGACTTAAGGCTTTAGTTTTAGTGGGGACTTCAGGCTTTAGTGGGTATCAGTATCACGAGGCTTGGCTCAGGATTGTGGGGATAAGGAGTTTAGGGCCTGAGGGGTTCAGACGGTTTGGGTCGCCCTCTAACCCTTGCACCCTAACCCTAAGGCCCCTCAACCAGAAACCTGAAGATCCCTAAAGTCAGACAGCCCTAAACCCTAAGCCCGAAGGCCCCCAAAAATTCGGATGGCATGCAGGCTTTGCCTTCAAGAAATCCCGACAAGAATCCTACGAAAGACACCTTAAATGAACCTGTAAAGCAATCCTTCAAGCCCTAAACCCTAAACCCTAAACCCTAAACCCTAAACCCTAAACCCTAAACCCTAAACCCCTAAACCCCTAAACCCCTAAACCCCTAAACCCTAAACCCTCCGCCAAAAAAAACTACCCTTGAGGTCTTGGCCTCTGAGTCTCCCTCCGAGAAGCACGACGTCTGGGGCCTAGGCCGGAGGCCCAGAAGCTGGTAAAAGAGGGGCCTAAAGAAGTACCTAGACGATTTAGGGTTTAGGGTTTAGGGTGTAGGGTTTAGGGTATAGTGTAGGGGCCTAAAGAAGTACCTAGACGATTTAGGGTTTAGGGTTTAGGGTTTATGGTTTTAGGGTTCTAGGGCTTAGGGTTTGGGGTTTTTTAGGGTTTAGGGTTTAGGGTATAGTCTAGGGGCCTTAATAATTTCCAAAACTCTTTTGGGGGCTTCCTGCGATTATTAGAATCGTACAATGGGCCCAAAACCCTTATTCTAATTCTTTTAGGCCCCTGTATAAACTCGGGTTTAAGGTTTAGCGGCCTGGGGGTTTGGAGTTTACAGCAGGGTTTTAGGGTTTAAGGGCCTTCGGGATGAGGATTTAGGCTGAACCCTAAACAAAAAACCCTAAACCCCTAAACCTAAACCTTTAAACCCTATACCCTAAACCCTAAACCCTAAACCCCTAAACGCTAAACCCCAAAACGCTGAACCCTAAACCCCTAAACCCTAAACCGTAGTTTCGGGCTTCAGGGCCTTAGGGTTCCAGCGTTAGGGGCTCCAGGATTCAGGGGCCTTTCGTCTTCGAGGCTTTGGGGCTTCGGGGGGGGGGGTGGCCTTGAGAGTTTTAGGGTTTAGGGTTCAAGAGTTTTAGGGTTTAGGGTGTAGGGTTTAAGGGTTTTAGGGTTTTGGGTTTAGGGTTTAAGGGTTTTAGGGTTTAGGGTTTAAGGGTTTTAGGGTATGGGGTTTAAGAGTTTTAGGGTTTAGGAGTTTTAGG